AACCATTAATAAATAGTATGACCAAGCACAGATACCTACAAGCCTACCTGTACAAGAGCCAAAGATACTGCTAACAAACCGCTGATAAAACAAGCCAATAGTCAGACAGCCGATGGGTATACAAGTAAACAAAGATGACAGCCAATATCTGAATAGCAGGTAGAACAATGGATGGGTGGTGGGACTCTGAAGGATAGGAAAGTGTGCTCAGGTTGAGTAGTAACCAGGGCTTCCAACAATAACTGCCTTATCCTTCATCCTTATATCTTTTGCAGACAAGTATGGTATCATATGCAACGTGTGTTGGATTCATGGGTTCTACAGTTAAGTAGTCCTCTTTTAGCCCCAATTTCTCAAACACTTCAATAAATACCGCAAATTTGCAGTAAAACACCTCTGCGCTGGGTTTCATCTTATCAGCCCTTGCTGTAGCATGGAGGTTGAGGAGATCAAAGGTTTCCTGATATACTATAGAAGTTAGAAATCGATACTTAAGTTAACATACCAGTCCAGGTGGCACATAGCACTCACATATCTTTCTCACATCTGAAGGATGCAATCCATACAGCTTCTTAAAGGTTCAGATATTGCCTCTGCCTTTTAGGCCCTCATATAATAAGGCATCGACAACTGTATCCCCTCCATACGCCTTTCTATTGCATCTCCGAATAAATATATTATCCCATTCCTCTGCATTCCTCAGTATATTCTACTTAAAGTAGGAGATAAATCCATTTCAAACAGACTTATACTCTTCCACAGCAAGACTCAATATAGTCAACTTGTGATAGAGCTTATTAATTTTGGCCTCATGCTTCACGAGCAGAGCCTCATGCTTCCCAACCCGAGTCTGAAGTGTAGCCACCTCTACTTTCATCCTGGCAAGGTCAAGACCTGAGCAATTTCTGACATAAACCCTTCCTATAACATGCTGAACTTCAAGATCCTTTTCAAGATCCTTAGCCAGTGCTTTCTTGTCAAACTCCCCTGTATCTGCATCGTTACCAAGTATTGATTGGATAACCAGTATGGCATCACAAAGTAAACTTTCCTGCTATTCTCATCATCCTTTAGGAGCTGGGCCACTTCTGTAAATGTTCCTATGTATGTAAGTTCAGCTGTCTTGTACTAATTCTGAAGATCCTCATATTCCCCTATGACCTGGATCAACTTTGGAATTGTGGCTCCCCTACAATCAATTCCATAGCTCCGACATTTCTTTTCATAGTCCTTCTGTAAGGGCATGATTTCTTTCTGAGAGATGATTGTCAAATACCGGGATTAAAAGAAAATCTTTTGCGAAGAATAGGGTGGTTCAAGGTGCGTAAAAAGGTTGTGTTTAAGATGAGGAACCAGAGAGAAGAGGAAGGAAGAGGGAGAAAGAGATGTAATAGTCAAGTGAGGGAGAATAGAATGAGAGAGCGGAAGAGGAGGAAGGAAAAGGGAAGAGATAGGATCAAAAAAGTTGGGAGATATGTTTGTTTCTTTTGTTTAGTTTTATTTTTGGGAGTGGGTGGGAGTGCACAGAGAAAGAGAGAGTACCATAATATAGTGAACTATTTTAGCAATAGTGTTTCTGAGCAGTGGTGCCAGCTTTTGAGTGCAAGAAGAATGGTAGTAGGTTTAGTAGGATATAGGGCTTTTGAGAGGGGCAAGGGACTGTGTTTCAGTTGATTTGTAAAAAGGCACTAGGGAATAAGACTGCCGGAACCCTATTGGGAGAGAATAATACATACAAGAAACAACTACATTGCAGTCTACTCATGCCAAGGTTGCAGTTAGGATACTGCAACCCCCAAAAATTCACTGGCTCAGTTTTTGGTGGCACTCATCCTGAGTGCCTGACAGCTCAACATCACTTTCCAGCTCAACATTACTTTTGTGGCTTTACATTATTTTTGTGGCTTAACATCACTTTTGTGGCTCAACATCATTTTTGTGGCTCAACATCACTTTTGTAGCTTTATATAAAATAAAAGTTTATTTTGTCTTTTTTATATATATAATAGAAACTATTTAAAATCTAGTATACAGGAATTTTTTTCAACCTTACTTGTTTCTTAATTCCAGCTATTATAATTTTAGACAATCTTTTTTTATGTCCTTGAATAAGGTGCCTTTGTTTGACATATACCTTCATCTCATCTAGTAAAGATTTCCACTCTGCCTTCTCAACTCTTTCTTGAGCATTTTGAGCTCATCTGAGTTACTTCTCAGCCTTTTCAACCTCCATCTCTTCTTTTATTTTTACCATCTTTCTTGCTTTATGAGCATATATAACACCTCCTTTTTATACCTGTCTTCAGTTTTGTGCTCTGTGTTTAGCATTTCTGGCATTCTCAGCTGCTCTAGTATTTTCTATCTGTTCCTTTGCTAAGGCTCCTAACTGAGCTTGAACTAATGCTTCTTGCAATAGTAACTTGAGCTAATGCTAAAAGGAAGGAGCTATTTCAGCTGCCTCCTTTACTAACTCCTCTCCTTATTGTCTCAGCTCAGAAACTGTGATTGGCATAGCCAACTCAGTATCAGAATCGTCTTGATTGGATAGTAACTCTGAGGGAGAATTAGAGGTAATAGCTGCTTCTTGTAACTTAGATATAACAATATTTGGGTTATATGGAATAAGTCCTGCTGCACAAAAGGCTGACTGTATTGTTGATGTTTTGAAGGTTTGATTCCATATTGATGCAATTTTATCAAGAATCTCACATTTATCAAAGTCACTACAACCACTTCAAGTGGCTGCTTCAACTGCCTCAGCATGATAATGCTTATATGGCTGGAAAACAACAACATTTAAAGGTTGCAACAGCTGACTGGTATGTGGGGGAGGCAGAAAACAATGATCTTGAATTTATCACAGAAGTTAAGAAACTCCTTGGTACAATGAGAACCAAAGCCATTCAGAATTATAAGGCGATAGGCTCCAGCTTGCTTGTGAGAGAAGTACTTTTCAAAGTGAGTAACCCACTGTATGGTCAACTTGTCATTACTGTACCTAGTCTCAGAGGTTCTAATAAGATACTCATTAGGAACTGAGGTAGCTGTACTAGTATACCATGGCTCCTGGTGGATAATACCAGGGATAATAACTAATAGTAGTAAGACAACTCCATCACTACTGATCGTTTTGCAAATACTAATTAGCTCCCTGTTGCTAGAGCTTCTGAGATAGCATTGCCGACTTGGATCACAAGTGATAATTCATTGATTTTGTCCAATTTCAATCCTGAAACCAGTTTCGTCAAAGTTGTATGTATTGCCTGATTGAATATTGTATTCCTCACACACCTTTCTGTATTTGTCAAACCATTCTCTAATGGTATCAGGATCATGTGCGTTTTATGATGTGCCTCAATAGTTTGTTGCTTCCGAATAAAGTATTCTAGATGGCGATTGAGAAACCTTCACATCCACTGTTTACTAACAACAGGAGCAGGTCTATTTCTATAATGGGAAAGTTTAAGAACTGAATTGGTATACCCAGCGACCATTTGGAGGTGTGCACTTGTTCCAACTACATCCAGACTGTCAAGATACTGGCATACTACTTGTTCTTGATCTGGTGATAGCTTTCGATTTGTTGCTGGTCTCTCTTGTTTTGATTGGCATCCCTGCTACCTAGCATGAAGACGAGATACTGGAATTTCAAATTTTCATAATGCTGCTGCTATATTTGGAGCAAGTTTTCTAGAGACAGCCAGTAAAGTAAGAGCAGCATTAATACGTACTTTAATATCACTATAAGTGTTACAAACTATGACTAAGCAAGGCAGATTTTACATAGCTTGTGATTCCAAGCTATAGGTATGTTGGGATTTCATATGATACATATTAGTACGCCATAGGTTATTATATTTACCTGTTCATGACACATAATTGTGAGTCACACGATGTAATGATTTTTACATATGACTCAAGTTTTCAGTCAGGAGTCTTACTAAGGTGATACTAGTTATGTACCTGACTTGGTTATTATATTTTGATTAGTTTTAGGTATGTTATGCAGCAACTCAGGGGAGTCAGCTGAAGGATTTCACATGACTCATAGTTATGAGTCACAGGGTTCACATGATGCAAGGTATGAGTTACGCTAGGTGAAGAGCGAGTATATAAAAGGTCACTAGGACCCAGAGTACAAACTCTTCACATATTCTTCTAGTTTATTTCCTACCTTTATATTTTATCAATAAAACCTACCTTTATGCTCTCTAAGATTTATCTTAAGAAACCCAAGAATAGTCTTTTCTCCTATGACAAAGAAGATTAAGTCTACCATAACGACTTAAAGAAGTCTGAGGTATTAGGCGCAACTTGATAGAAGTCAAAGGACTTGACTATCTACATCACGTAGGCAACGGCCTAAGAACTATTACCTTACCATGATAAGAATCGTTACCTGTCGCCTTTACTCACCCGGTAGGATTCTTAACAATAAGGTTCTACCTGCTGGCTAGGTAAGGTAAAGGAGGGAGCTGGAGGCATACTTTGAAGTTTGAAGATTGTGCAGAGTGGGAAAATTGTCGTCTTATTGTTACAGCCTTTTGGAGAAGAAAAAATGCTGTATTTATCATAGATTTAGATTATATCAAATAAATAGTATATAAAACATAGAATTATCAGCATTTCATACATAGAATTACATGTATATAATACATAGAATCACAAGCAATGTTGAGCCACAAAAATGATGTTGAGCCACAAAAGTGATGTTGAGCCACAAAAATAATGTAAAGTCACAAAAGTGATGTTGAGCTAGAAAGTGATGTTGAGCTATCAGGCACTCAGGATGAGTGCCGCCAAAAACTGAGCCAGCGAATTTTTGGGGGTTGCAATACCCTAACTGCAACCTTGGCACGAGTAAGATTAACCAGATAATCAAACGGAGTAGGAGTGATAACTCACGGCTATTCCCCTTTTGAATCGCCTTGAGGTAGGAGGCACGCATGGGCTTGCTTAGACAACATGATACTAGTACTGTGCACACTCCCCGGATAACAGGTCATAAAAGATTATATCATGGGAACCAGGCTAGTACCGGGAGGGGGAAAAAGCCAATTTATTCCATTGCCTCTCCTCCTCCGGCCCAATAGACAGCCACCCAGAGTCACAAAGCCCCTCTAACCGCGATCGCTACACCGCATATGCCAAGAACGTGTACATACCGCGGAAAACAGCTTCGCCTTACAAACTATCCCTGAAAAACGTGAGAACTTGCCTATACCCCCTCTCATATTCCCCCCAGACCTCTTCGTCCGCCAGTTGCGCTCTCGCCGCCATCCACCCGTGCACCATCTTATCGTAGACTTCAATGTAGCTCTTTTCCTTGACCGCTTTGTTCGGATGCACGGCCAATTCCTCCCTGTACGCTTCAATCACGTCCGCTGGTTCATCCCCCGATGGGAGAACCAAATGTGGGATAGTGACTTTCTTGAGATCCTCCACGTCCATCATCGCAGGGTGAAGCTGTGCAGAGGCAGCAAATGGAGTTTCAGGGCCGGAGACTACTGCCGCCACCTGTTCGCTCCACATTAGCACCTTCCCTCCAGGAAATGGTGGTAAAAACTAGGAACCCACCTTACCCCCCCAACAATACCCAACGAGCCCCCACCTCTCCACTCCCGGAAACTCTTTCCTCAGCCCCTCCGCCACAGCCCTAACGTTCCCCTCGCCATCCTTGAGGTTCGCAGGGCCATTAAAAAACTCCCTGAGCGCCTTCCCTTTCTCCGGCGTGTCAGGCGGGTAGCAGTTCGGTTCCGCCACCTCCCCCTTAAAAAAGTCTGGCATGACGACTAGGTGGTCAGCCGAAGCGAGGATGTCCGCGCCCTGAAGCGTCTGCGGGAAGTAGCCGAATATGTCAAATATCACTAGAATCCCAGTCTTACTGGTCTTGGAACCCGAAATGTAGGATTTGAAGTTTGCCGCTGTTTCAAAGGCGCCCTTCGGGGTGTAGTCGTGTGATATGACGGGGGGGATTTCGCAGCAGGCTCTGGAAGCCATGTTGTGGTTTTGTTGTTTTGTTTGTTTGCCGTTGATTGTGGGACGACGTATTGGCGGGGGTGGGGATAGGGAGATGGGTGGTGCGATAGGAAGAAAGATAAGATGGAGTGCGGGGTTTATTTATGTTGCGTAGTTATCACACCCTAGTACCGGTACTGCACTGTACCTATACTCGAGTACAAGAGGCTAGGGAAAAGTGATTAGGGTTAACATAACGACAGCTACCGTGTCTCTGCGTAGGGGAGCAGTTAAATCCGGTCAGGTTAAATCTACAGACTGCGATTCACCTGTCATATGTGCTCGTACCATAGGAAATTGCACGACACCAGCAGTGTACAGTACCTTACTTGCGGGTTGCCAGAAGTCGGCTCCGCTTCCGAAAAGAGATGTGCCATTTGTAATCAAACCAAACCAGATTAGGAAATTCGAGTGATAACAAGTGAGGATTTTTTGGAGTCGGCAAAAAGTTGGGTCCACCCGGAATGCTACGGTAAGGGCTGCTTGTCTGCAGGAAGGCCTGGGAACCCACGCTGACAAGTCATCACCAGTTTGCTATTACAAATACCAGTGCCGGTACAGTACTCGAGTATCTGCACTCCAGCACCTATCTGGTGATTGAAAGATATGCCGTTGCTATTGCGCCCCCAAGAGGTAAAGAGAAAGATGGAGGAGAATCAGCGGCCATGGCAGAAATCTGGCTCAAGCATTGGGGGCCTGGTCACTCTGACTGAGGAAACAAGGCCAAGCCTGGAAAAGTACGAGTAATGGACCCGACTTACCAGTACCCGAGCACAGTACCGGCACTTGTGTCGCTGAGCTAAAAAAATCAACACCTATCCACCCTGTTAGTAACCAGTAGGCAGCTCTTCCGAAAAGGGTGTCAATTCTTGGCGAGAAGACAATACTACCGGGGGCATCATAGTAACGCTTACGGTGGTTTCAAGATATGATGCCTCTAAACCCTGGCATGCTCGTGGGGGGGAGGGGTTTCGAGATAGTAATCAACCCGGTTTTTTACTATCCATAGCCAGAAGCATGCGTGGCAGTTAGGACCACTTGTACTAGCAAGGTGATTACAAGACAAGGGTACATTAATAGAATACCAATCCAATAGCATTAAGGTGTCTAACTACTTGTTGAAAAAAGCAAGCAGGCATAACGAGATATCCAATTACAGCATTAATCCATCCATCCATCAAAATCGCTATCATGAAAAGAAAAAAGAAGAAAGAGGAGGAAGGAACAGGGTTCACAAAGAAATTACGGCCACCATCGTGAGACACGGGAAAAAAGTGAAAAGGGAACAAAGTAGCAAAATCAAATCTTGATCCTTCCAGACGTGGTAACACCCTCAGCAACCGGTCGCGCATACTCAATCATATAAGTCCTCCCTTTAAACAACCACCCAAGAGCCCCCCACAACTTCCACCCCTTGACGAAGGCAACCGCATTGGCGAACCTCCTCCCCATGGGGACGATTATCATGAGCCCATCGTCGTGGACATACTTCTTGAACACTTCCACCCCGGCGCCATTAATCGAAGAAATTATATTCTGCATAGCAACAGTCCATTGCCCGTCCACCGTGGTGAGCTTCCTGTTCCCCCAGTGTGTGACATCACCGATAGCCCAGACATTCTGAGTGCCTTCGACACGCATGTATTGATCCATCTTGACCCACCCGGCACTATCGAGGAGCTCTTTTGCCAGGAAGGACGTATTCGGGTAGATTCCCCACGTGGCAATGTGCAGATCTGCAGGGAGGACCTCGCCATTGCTGAGGACCAGCTCGACGATGCCCTCGACACCCTTCGCTGAGGGGCGTTCCTCGACCACTCTAACACCTGTCTTGACCTTCACGCCGATCTTCACAAGGATCTTCCTCGCGGATGCGCCCACGTCCGGTCGGGGTACCTGCGACAGGAGTTCCTCGCTGGAGGATACTATCACAACTTCCTTATCCGCACCATAAAAGTCCTTGATCTCCCCGGCAAACTCCACTCCCGTTGCTCCGGCTCCTGATACAACAATCTTCTTCGCGGCCCTGATGGCAGCGCGGGTATTGGATACGACCTCCTCTGTGTTGCCTTCAAGGTCATGTTTGAAGCCCCATTCTTTCCCGGCGCCGCCAGACGTATTCGCTCCGCTGGCAACGATGAGGTGGTCATATGTAACGCTTGTCTCGCCCTTCCCCCCATGTAGGGCGACAGTAACGGTCCTGCTACGGGTATCCACCGCCGAGGCTTTCCCGTGGAGGAATGCAAATCTTGAGCCGTGCTTTTCGAACTTGGGCAGGAAGGGGATGAACAGGTCTCCATTCTTCTTTCCGAGGATGGACTGTTCGACCAATGCGCGCGGGGAGGCGGGGTTGAAGTAGAAGTTTGTCGAAGGGTTGATCAGAGTGATTGTCCAGGACTCTGGAGCGTGCTTGAGGAGGTAGTGTGCGGCCGGGAGGCCGGAATACGAAGCACCTATGATCACAATGTTGGATGTCATCTCCGCAATGAGTAGATAGTAAGTAAAGAAGTGAAGTAGGGATGTAAAGAAGCAGAAAGGAGGCCGAGGAAGAATTATCTAAATACCGGAAGAGGGAGAGAAATCAATGACCGATGCAGATTTAGGAAGAAGAAAACGAGACGAGAGAAGGAGACTCCCCAGCAATATATATAATATTATTACAAAAAAGCTTAAAACCTCCCTTAATCACCATCCCCCTGTCTAACCCACGGCCTGCCCTCACATCAACCAAGAATCACCCTAGCCCACTGCAGCATCCTAACGGGTAGTGCCGTACCGCATTGTTACTGACTCGGAAGATAGCCTTTCCGGGGCAAAAGGGCAAGACAAAAAAGCAAAACCTCTTACCTCTCGGCCGGATATCAGGTCACGTGATGGTGTCAGGTTGCAGTTTATTATCGGTTGCTGACAAACCCGGTGTAGAAAACCCGAACCACAACAGCGCGCGCCTGTCCCGTTGATTGGCGAATCGATGGGCGGAATGATATAACCAGCCTGCGCGCCAGTGAGTAAATGCTTAGCACGGTATGCTATTACAAAACCCTCCGGGTGATTATGTCACAGTACTGGTATGATTGGAAATCTATACCGTAGTACGTGTGGTTTTCTCTGCTCTTCTGGAGAGCTCACCGGTATCTTCACCCCTGCTACCGAGCCCCCCCGATGGTTCCCGATCCGGTAAGGGCGCGCGAGGGTCAAACACAGGATATCCCACACTAAACTCTACTCGAGTACGATAGTCCACTCACTTGCCATACCGGCAGCGCGAGTGCACGCGTTCATATCGAGCACTCGGGCAGTCTCCAGGCTATGGATAAACAAGCCATACTTGCTGACTAGTACCAAAAATGCACCCACAACGGAAATTCCCTTGCGGTACGGTGCGGTATCATACTAGGACAATCGACATCCGGACAATCTATCGAAGGTACCAGCAGGGTTCACCGTAGCTTACTCCTTGGAAAGCACAGGACTGGATCCGGGGATTCCTCACTAACCAACCAACCTTCAAGCCTATCGTGGGGAATCAAACATTTCGAGTGCGATACCGTAGCCTACATGCGCATTAACGGGATATCCCCCTCCCCCCGCCCATCAATCAGAGGGGCAAGCCTGACAGCCGCTGCTCATACTATGGCGCAGTACATTCCCGACCTGGGCACTCTTCGAAGGTCTACCCCGCCCCAATGCAGCTCAAGCGATGTTGTAATGAAGGGGGCTGGATTAAAAATTAATCGAGAGAATTGGAAAGCACTTTTTGAACCGGGGGTCACCAAGATACCGTAGATAAAACCCCTCCTAAAAAAAACAAAAAATAGAAAACGATGATAACATACCGGTATCCAAAGGGAGTGCCGGGAAAAAGCAACAGAACATGGGGCGGGACGGAAAAAAGCAAGTGGCATGATAGCGGGAGAAGCCAATAAACGGGTATACCGGTACTGTACACAACGAGTCAAGCATTTCTCACTCGTTTTGCTGATGCACCAAATATGATGAGAGGTAGTGCTAGCCTTTCTCTTTGATCGTACGTGTATACAATGTCTTTAGTATTCTCCAGGTATGGGAGGCCTGTTGGGTTCAAATCTGCGGGTGGAGCAGATAGATTATTAATTGTATATTGTTTGAGCTGGAAACCTTTGCAGGCTATCATCACTACCTATATATCCTTCCCCATTTCTGGACAATAAATAACTTTATTTTTCAATATCATATTTTCTCTTGCTAGGGCATTAAGTAACCCCCCGTCCTTGGGTCAGGACTCAGGATTGTCAGAAGCCCCCATCCAATCCCTCACAGCCCCCTAGTTCGATCACCGAAGGCCTTTACAGCGTACAAGTATAATACGGGTACTTGCACTAGGTTCAAGTGTCGCAGCTCGTATCCCCACACCAAGAATTGGCACTCTTTCCGGAATAACTGCCGCCCGAGTACCGTATCGTGCAGGCGCAAAGAGAGGGCGAACGGTTGTCAGTCCCTTGAGTCGGAGACATGAGTACCCGTAAGTTACGTGTACCGGCACTGTACCCGCAGCGCGCCAGGTTGCTCTCTCGCTACAAGTACAAGACAGCGGCACACACTCGTGCGATGGATGATGCAGTCACTGTACGGTACGGTGTGATTAGTGTGGTGGGGGTTACCTTGAGCTGGAGCACGGCTACCAACATTCATCCGGCTTAGTGATGCCTGTGCAATGCCATTGACCATCATTTAGTCACCGGTTTGTTTTCTGGAAGAATTTACTTTCCTCTTGCCAACTACATATGACAGCGAACAACCGACATTTCGGTCCTAGCCTAACCCCCACCCCTATGCCTCACCGAAAGCCAATACTTTTAAAGTGCCCCTCTATGATACTGTATTTTTCTGAGCCTCCATCTTATTTCCTATCGGGAAGGAAGGATAAAAACAAATTAAACATTGTTCAGGAGGCCTGGTAGCTTGGAGTTGTGAATCCCTTCTGGTCTCGAGCGTTGCAGCCAGAGGGTTTGTGCACTACCGTATAACAGGCCAGGCGCCAACTGCCTTCAAGGTGAGCCCCCCCCCCGAAGATATCCTCCCCGGATCGAAGAGAAACAAGGTAGGGAGTCAGGGAGTCGTTCCGGGGCCAGGGAAATCTATGCATATCTTGACCGGATCATGTACTAGTACACTTTCGTCAATCACTCTGAAACTCACCAGTGGCATTCAAGGTTCAAAACGTAGCAAAACCTTAGCTTACTCTGCTGTTTCATGTATACTCGGCATGCATAGAGATGGTTAACTTATCGGTTACCTGAGTTTACCTTACCATACCATCCTTTTTTTTTTCCTGGTATCATAGATATGGAGGTCCAGAGGTCTGTAACCGAGTTTAGCACAGCTTTACCGGATCTCTGAAGTGATGCATAGTAGTGAAGGGAGGGTTGGGAGGATCGGGGAAGAAGAAGAAAAACAAAAAACCTGGGATAATAGCACAATTTAGAAATAATTATGCACTCTCGCTGCCGAAAATCTCTCGATTTTAACTTTTTGTCAGCAAACGCAGGGTTTCTCTGCAAGATCCATCATAATATCTGTGGCGTGATACATTACCTTCAGTTACCTTGTGGCATTCAGATATGATACCCAGAACATGAGCATTCTATTGGCTGGTGCTGGAAAGTAACCTTATGCAACTTCTGCATTTACTTATTACTGAAGCTCTCAATCGAATGACGTCTGTGATCACGCCTACTATCGCATACAGTACCGGTGCTGTAGCGCTAAAATAGCAGAGAGATTCGATAATTACGTGATCTCGCGTAAAAAGTTTATTCTATCTCCGCCAATAAAATAATCGTCCATGCCTCATCACTCGGGTTTCCGGTTCGGGGCCGGACACGATACACTTTTTTTTTTCTGACCAGACCGCATTGCACATTGCACAGGACAGGGCAGTACCGTACGGTACTCGTACGGTAACCGGTGCACTGGTTATGCATTGTATAAGGTAGATTAATTGCGAATCATCTGGTTCATTAGTGATCCGCGTCCAGTCTACCAGGGGACTGGTACTTCCTGCAGGCCTCTAATCTCCGTGCTTAGGGACAAAAACCCGCAAGAAAAGGCTTAGTGTCTTCCTCATGCGGCAAAGCGTGAACGTGCTGACTGTGTTGGATATCATTAACTGGTGTTCGCATAGGCGGTTAACCTCTCAGACGGAGATTAGGGGTTGCCGGAGATATCGGTAGTGGATTGGATGAGAATGTACGGTTACAGCCTCCACTGCGGCACTACTTGTATTATTAATACGTAGCCAAAAGCAAATATGTGAGTATCGGTACCTGTACCGGCAATACCGTACTAGAAGCTTCTCCGTAAAAGTCCCGTGTTGTGGAACGCTTGAACCGGCATGGGCGGCAGTAAGGGAATACGTAGGGGAATACGTAAGGAGAAGACGGGGTAGCATGGGGTAGCAAAGAGAGACAAGACACGCATATAGAAGGGGAAAAGGAAGGGAAGGAAAGGGGAAAAAAAGGAGGGGAGATTCCTTTACCTGTAATTTTAATTCGTAGTCTTGGTGACGACCGGTCCAGCCATCGTGATATGGTCTTTAAGACTCTTGCCATCACTAGTCAAAGCCCCATACCTTTGCCCGTTGAAGCATTCGGGGAGAGCAACAACAGAGGCACAAGACCGGTACCAATATTGTCATTGACGACCTTGGTCTTGGCAAGGATCAGCCCTGTAGCGGTGGTGAGGGCAAGATAAGTCCACCCAAGACGAGTGTTGGTGCGGGGGCCGGTAGCGAGGGTTATACAGTAGTAGATCCTGACTTGGTAGTCTGACCCCCCCCCCCCGAAAGGTGGGGGCTGCGGAAAGGAAAGGTAGAGATTGCGTGGAGCTAGTGGGGAAATCAGCGGGTAGGAACCCCTTACTTGGTGAAGCCCTTGAGCACCTGTTCGTTGAAGGTATTCTCAAGACTTTTAAGAGTGGGAACGTAGTTTAGAGCGACACCTGTGGTACTGTAGTTAGCCCCCGCTCGTATCTCAGAGAGGAGGAGAAGGTAACTGCCCATCATTAACGATCTATCTCTTCCCAATGACCGGCGGAGCAAATATGCCTTGCGAAAGAGTGCAAAGAGTGGCAGTGACAGGGGAATTTCACAGTAGAGATTGCAAGATTAGAGTCAAACAACGACTGATTACATGGCTTGTTTGTTTTTATCCTGAAACTGTGAGATGGAGAAACCTCACGATGGGAACATCCAAACCACACTCGGGAGTGGAATGAATTACACGACCCTTAACCACCCCCATAACCCCCCGCGGGAGGAGATCAAAATAAAAACTCTGAAAGAAAGAAGAAAGGGAAAGACAAGACTTAAACCCCCTGTCCTTATGTGAGACCTATCACCGATCTGCAGTGACTGCTCTCGAAACCACCCACAGACGATCTCACAAAGCATATGCCTCACCCCTCACCCCACCTCCCTCCCGCTGCCCCTGCCCACCAAAGCGGTTTGGAAAATGGCGGAAATGCCACAATTTCAAAACTCGGATAGTTCTGCGTTGTCATGACAATATGAGCCACACCACACAATATCAAGTTATATGATCTAGAGATTTTCAACACGCATACACCCTCGCATCACCTCATCTACTGTGCCCGGCCACTGCGACTAGCTTTCCCCCGGGAGGGTTCTGCTGTACTGGTATAGTATGGTACCAAGAAAGTTCTCCATGGTCGGATTGGAGCTAAGGGCGGCGGGGGCTACTCGAGTAGCAAGAGAGGAGAGAGACTCCTAAATTAGGATACATTGGGCGAGTAGCGAAAGGTAATTGGATGGACCCTCGTTAGGGAGAGTTAGATGGGTGCGGTACCGGTATTGTAGCCATGGCGGGAACTAAAAGTATAAACAGCACGACGTGACACGAGATTGCGGGTGTATAGTACTGTATCTTAACTACTATTTCACTCGTTACAAGTAGACTAGTTTGGTGTGCAAGTCCAAGTTTCACTTCCCCTGCTGCACAAAGCGGGGTGGATGGTGGACCGGGGGTTTCTTTTTTGATGGGGTAGTGTCGATATGGCGGGTGACCTGCTTTGCATAGCTTGATTTGAGGCGGATGTCTTGACCCCCGGGATATTGCATACAGTATGGTGCGATCTTGCCCGCCTTCTTGCTTGGGGGGCGAAATAAAAAGAGATGGATACCGGGTAAGTCGGGGAATGAGCTAGATGAAGGGTTTTCGAACTTCGGTGCAACCAGTAATTATTATTTTTCTTTTCCCTCTTCTTCAGCCTTTGTTGCCCCTACTAATAGAATGGTGGTTTAAGTAATCTGTGGAGAAGGAGGAAGGGATGATTTTTAATTGTGCATGGATAAAAGCTGTTTGCATATATCTACTAGTATATCGGGGTGTGTTGTGAAGGAACAGTGGAACCTCCAGCGGATGAATGGATTTGACCGTGGGTATGGTATTTGGCTGAGGTGTTCCTGGATGACTGCGCTACTCTCTTCACCCACGGGAAGGGGCTTGAATGAATCGCTCTTGTTGTTTCAGTGGGTCATGGAGCACCAAAACTGGACGTGTTAAGCCTTTACCTGTCTAATGGTACCAATTCTCCACAAACGTCAAGACAATTGAGATTAGGGTGTTCTATCTTCCACCGGTATCCGTCGTGCCCAATACTTCTAGTTCAGCTAATTGATCATACCGCGATCCTCACCACTCCAGAAAATATCTAGGCTTTAGCATCCGCTGTGGGATGTCTACGCACAATCCGCTTGTGTGCAGTTTCGGAGTTTCCACCGAAGTGAACCGCTTGCACTCGTATTTGATAAGCGGTTCTAGTGTTCAATGTGCTAGGAGCACCCCACGTTCACAGATCCCGCAATCCTCCATCATCCTATATCACTCGCCATGGCTATCGGTCGGCAATAGGTTGTCAAATGTCCACTAGCAAAATCAATTCCACAGGCTGTTCTTGTGGGAAAAAAAAAACATTCTCCAAATTTCCAGATTTCTGGAGGATCGGTTTGAATTTTATATAGCTCGTCATGGTTTAGAATCGGGAAGCGGGCTTTCTAGATTTTATCGTGAAGATATGCCGGGGCCACTTCTACTCAGGTAGGTCCCTTCCAGATTCCCACGGGGAGTCCGGTACTACTTCTCCGACACTATTAAATCGGTCAGTGGCCATCACGCACGGTGCAAGGACCACCACATGTTTTCATCTCCCCCATCGTTCAATACTATCTAGCCGATGTGCAATACAAGTACTAACACTTCCAGGGACAGCGAGGGCTTGTTCGGGGGGAGGGGGGGCGGTTATTTATGGCACAAGGATATACTGGTGGCCATTGAGTTTTTGCACTGTGATGTCGGCTGTCTTGGGGACTGGTTCAAGAGCTCGAGGGGCGAATCTTTGCAAGTATCTTGGTTTCAAACTGCTTTATAAATCGAAATACACAACATTTTCTGGAAACCGGGAACAAATGAGCTTGGTTATTGGTGTCACATGGCGGTAATACCAGCATTAATTACTCGAGTACCGGCACCCGCAGAGTTGGCTCCCGGCTGAGAAAACCCGTAGGGGATGATGGCAACACTTTCCGTAGGGAACTGACTGCGCAGGAGAAAATCGACTAGAAGAAAACACCGTAGGGTGAAGGATGTGGAGATGGCGTCGTAGAAACACACAGGTGAGAGAAACTGCACAGGAGCCCTGAGGAGTCGAGATGGATTGCGGATGATCTATCTCCAGAAAGAAACAAAGGAAAGCAAAACTAAGAACAACTCGTGGTAGCTCCTCACACTAAGGGCTAAATTAACCACTGTTCAAAAGCACAGAAATGACAGTCCTGCTGGACAGGAGGGCGAACCCACTCCAGTCAGCATGCCCTAACATCATATGGTACGAGTACGATGGGGTTACTCCATCGGGGAAAGTGATGACCAAAATTTTGCCGAGATTAGGAGGCGGTCACGGGTTGAAGGCAGAAGCTTTCTCGACACGGGACTTCCAGCACCTCATGGTGCCCGTGCTTGCAGCTTGGACTAACTTGCACTCGAGCACGTGTCTCCGCCGGGAACTTGAACCGTCCACTCGAATAAGGGACTGGTGGTTGTCCGACTTCCAATAAGGTATGGTGAGGGACTTCTGTAGCCGGAGTAATTTGCCAAGAAATTATTGCTCAACTTCGAGCCGCAAAGGCGTTTCAAAAACCGCTCTGGTGAGAATTATAGCCCCACTAGATGATACAGTAGGAGGTCCTCTACACATTAATAGAGAGAAAATAAAAATACCACGAGTTTTCATGGAGTTATAAGGGTTTAAAACTAGGTGAACTTTTGGGGAATGTCCGGAACATGTTAATTTCTGTTAATTTCCTTGGCACAGTCAGTTAATGCATGTTTGCCAAGAGAATAACCTCTATTAAGTCTACTGCTTGGCATATTAACTTACTATGGCTAAGCCATGATGAATGTCCGCCCGCTCCGACTACAGACGTCCCTCACCATAGGGTTAGAGTTCGCTAAACAAAGAGGTGCGCCAATCAAAGCGTTGGGGGCGATAAAGCACCCCCCCGACTTCAGCCGCATCGAATTATAAAGAGGCGACCTTCGGGTCGGCCGGGTTACGTGGGTCGGAGAACAAGCTCATCACACAAATTCCACATTTTCGGCCATCGGCAACAATTCGTTGAAAACTTTTAAGATGGATCGCTTTGTCCCCCACCCAGACTATGCCGAAGACCAGCCCTACTCGCGCACTATTCTCACCACACATGTCTTACATCGTGGGGCCAACGTCGGGGCGGCTTTCGGAGCTCTCTACGGTGCGGCTCGGTATGGACTTTCCGCGCACGCGCGCAAGCTACCTCTGGCAACCTCTATGGTCCAGGCCTCGGGTGTTGGGGTTGTTTTGGCTACAGGAGTTGCCGCACTAGCGCTTTCGGGGAGGATGTATGGGAGGCAGGGGATCGAGTGGCAGGACCGATCATGGAGGTTGCTCGAGAATAGACCTCAGAATGGGATCGACGAATGGAGTGCTTCCGGGGCACTTGTGGGCGGGGTTTTAGGAGGTGTAAAGGAGGGCCTACGCTGGAAGGGTATTACGGGGAGTGCGGGGATTGGAAGTGTCGTCGGAATTGCAGGCTGGGCGGTTTACAACAAGATGGGGGGGAGGGGGGAGCAAGCCAACGCGGTAGGAGATTCGGAGAAGGCGGATGTCAGATCATGAAATCTTTCTTGCTTGCATTTTCCTACTTTTCATAATTTGCCCTATTCACAGTCTCCTCGTTCGTCTGAATAGGCGAAGGCTCATGTTAATAAATCCCGCACAGAATCGAAGCCCAACTCTCTTTCGGTTTCAATCCACGTGTAAGGGGTCTCTTGCGCTTAGCCATGAACACAGCGATGATATAGTATATTGATCAAATCCTGGTACTGGTACTGGTACATTCTTGAAGTCGCACCGACCGAGCTCAAACCTTGGTCGGTTCGTACTGAAATTGTTGGTTAACTTACTGTACCAATCTGGCACGAAACAACGCTGCTTGCCCAATCACCAGTACGGCGAAGAGGAGCGGTGTCGCAACACGTTCGCGCCTTTTTACGATGATGGCTACCGCATAAGTCCTGTCCACAGGGCTGGGAATACTCCCGTTTCCAGAGAGTGAGGGCGTTTCCGACAGTCCCAAAAGCCGACCCAAACCGGAAACAGAATCAAGGTTAATCACGCCAAAACCAGTGCTGCCCACTTAAGCCAACTACGCTACCGCCTCTCGGCTTGTCAACCAGCTAACTTAGTATCCTGCGATCCGAATATCTAGGAACTTGTTTCGCGCGCCCACCCAAGATTTTCGGGAGTGCGGGCATCAATGCGCTCTCAGTTGTTCACTTCCTACACAAGAGAACGGTCTGGAGGCTCCTGGGGTTGACCGGAGATTTGAACGTGAAGGAGTGTGGGAGCACGGTGCTAGATTCTATGAATGGTGCGCGGGGATGGGCAGTGTTTTAATCTCGGAACTGTTAGCTATGAACCTGATGCACACTGGAAAGCCCTGTGGGACAAAAGAACGGCGCTGCATGATTGAAGTAATCCGGGGAAGCGAGGAGATAGTCAGGATACTGGCAGACATTGGGGGCGAGTGGAGGGCATCGTATGGGAAATGATAATCTATGGCAAATATTTTTCAAGCGGATGTGAGCGGATATCAATAACTCCCCTCCGGGGGGACGTGGGGAGGGGGGGGCACCTGCTTGTTACTAGAGAAGAATTTGCATGCGCCTATCAAGGGCTGAGGCGGTAAATTAAAGTTGCTCTATATTTGCATCGCGCGGTGGATAGCGAGTGTGAGGTGGTGTTATAGCTCTTCTCTGCTGGATACGACGGTAGATAAAATTTGAAATGACAAGTATAGAATACGGCGGCGGAGAATGCGAACAAGAGAGGGAAAGCAGAGGTATTTAGTTCAGAGCACTCTGGGCTCGAAGATTCAGCCCAAAAGGACGGTAATAGGAAGTCTGACGAGTAACTCTAGATGGGCTGCGGAACTGGCACCCGGGCCGCAGGACCGGCCCGCAACAGACAGAAACACTCACCGGATCGGGTATGATGTTAATGTGGGCACCTAAAAGCGTGCCGGTATTCGCGAAATAGCAAATCGAGCGCTAGCACTCGCAGAAGGCCTATCCCCGTCAACTTATAGATGCTATACCCAGAAGAGGGACTGGTTGGATTACATGGGTATAAAAGCTTAGCCTGTGCAAGTACCGTACTACTTCACTAGCTAACTAACGGTTTAGCTTTAATCGTCGGGGGGGGTTCGGTAGAATGACTAACAAATAGCGCAGCGGTGCAATGGGAAGGATGGCTCTGGGCTTCGGCGTTATAGGGGAAACATATGGCCAGAAACTTTGGTGTTTTGCTCGTCTCTCCTCTAAAGTGAACTAACCGTAGAGCATAAGCCTAATATATAAAACGGAACCAAAGCATTCCAATCCTTCCATGGATCACTACATATACCCTCCTTCTACTACGTATGTGCCCAACCCTCCGTACACTCCCGCGACAACAAAGGAGAGACGAGTCAAGAGAATCCTTCTCTGTAAATTATTAGACCCCAGAACAGTCCAAAAAAAACCCCCCCAAAGGATCCACTAAGCTCCTGTTAGTTCCTGAATCACTCACAACATTCTATCATCCTTCTACGACCGCTAGAGTTAACATTCAGGTACTAGACGTATCCTGCAAGTGACGAGGAGGGGCGAGACGCTTCCTGAGGTGCTGAGGGTGAGCATGTAGGAGGTAAGGAAAGGCAATATATCAATAATGGCTTTAGGGCAACAAGGCTATCGGCACTGCAAGTAAAATTGTGCATGTCAGTACATATATGTAGGGAGAGTGAGAGATTTATGTATACCCAGGTATGCGAGGAGACGGGAACGACAGCCATTGGCTATTCCACCGCGGTGCAGTACCAATGATGAAAAATCGTTTTTTGTTTCACCTTGCCGGTGCACCGGGAAGGGTGTTGGAGATACCGTGGAGACAGCGTATCCCAAATGGGGAGTCCAAGGCCGTCATACCCCAGCTAGTAGGCTAACGAGTATATGGTAGAAGGGTAATGCAATCATAATACCAAAATGCCTATCGGCCATACGCTCCTTCGGGGAATAGTGTCCGATTGGGGTAACGGACACTCATGAGTGACTTCCTGTGATTTATTGTGGTAACAAATGCTTGCATTGGTCCCGGTAGACCGTTGAGGCTCCGGGCGGTGCTCGCTGCTACCGCGCAGGGTGCTCGTTTTTTACGCGTTGCGGAACGTGCCGCCGAGAGGGTCCAAGAGGTTATGATCGGAAAATGAATCGCATCCTAGAGGCGCCCAGCTCCAAATGCTAAAGTTTATATGGCTCTTCCCCCGAGCAATGTTTTTAACGGTAGAACTCTTGGAGATTTTGGCAGAAGCCTGGGTTTCAGTACAACTATAGAATGGGGTCTATCATACTCTTCCACCGATAGAAGCCATTAATGCCTGGTTATATTTTGGAGGGAAATACACGGCTCGTAAGCCCAGGGCTTGGGCAAGGCTGGTTTAATAATAGGTGGCCATACTCAAGCTGGTCCAGTCATCTTTTAATATCAGAGAATATGTATAGCGTTTAGAGATAGTAGTCCGTTTTCTAAATCACAGAGTGTATCTTCTCCATTTAATTACTAGCTTTTTGGTTCCCCCTTTCGTCTACCACAGCCCATTGCAGACCTCTCCCTTAGGCTCATGCTTCGGGGCCAAATCCTACCACCTCGTAGCAGGACTGGTTTGCACTAAGCCCTCATTTAGGGGGGGTAAGGCCCCAACCCTCCCGGTCTCTATAGCGCGGGTTTGTTATTTCTCCAGCTCTACTTGACCACTCAATGATGGCTCATGAGGAGGAGGGGGGGGGGTTTGCGCTTCCGGATTCCCCCCAATTGCACAAGCGTTGATTGGTTATTAGGCACTTAGGCCACTGATTCCACGTGGCATTACTATGGAGTTGGTATTGCCCCACCGGTAGGTAGATATGATTTTTATCTTGATTTTTTACTTAAAACTAAATAATACAGCACTACTGAATATTGAATCCAGTATAAGAGCAGATAAATCATTGAGGGCTAACGGCGGATTCCCTTCTGGTGGGAAAGGATAATCGCAGCCGGAGTATCGGTGATGAAAAGAGGCAAGCTTTCCAATGGGTCGGCGTTTTGCCGGACTAGACCGGGTTGTGTCCGTCGGGTTTCACTAGGGTGGATAGAATATCGGTGCCTCTTAGGCCGGGTCAGGTGCTAGGAGGTTACCCCTAGGTTACCCAAGGGACCTTACAAGTCTTTTAAACATAGAGTCTCTTTCCGGAAGCAGTATTGTTATGATTTTACAATAAGAACCGTCGTCAGGGCTCAAGAAAGTTGAAAACTAGATTTACAGGAGGGAGGAAGGTGCCTGAAAAGATGTAAATTATGGTGGCTTCTGAGGGGCCCTACACCTAAGAACCCAAGCCTATTACAGTCATCGGATATCCCCTGTTTTGAATCATTCAACTGTTCAAAACATGGTCCCAAAACAGACCCCCCTACCCTGGGAACATGTGGTCAAGAGTTCCCACCTTAGCCCATCGGGGTTCTTTTCCATATCTAAATAACTGGCTATAGAAATGACTTTTTCCATCTGATACCGGAAGTCTCCATTCTAGGGGTCCATAAGCCCTGCCAACTCGGTGTGCCTTTTCAGCTCTCGTGCTCTATAAGCTAGACCCATAACGGAGCTTTTCCGGGACACTCCGAAATTTAAAGTGGAGTAGGCTTTATTATCGGTCCGTGCTTGGAGATACACCTGGTTGGGCTAAAGGAATAAAGAGGGATAGAAACGCGTGGGAAACGCACTAACAGTATCTTCACTAGCCACTTGAATCCTCCCCCTTATTTTCACGATCTCTCACTCGGCCAGGGAGTGTCCGGACGGTAGGCTCGCGTAGAACATGACACAATGCAATGCCGTATGGTACGGTAACGTGCAGTAAACTTATGATACTAGACCCCGCCCTGGACCCTAAGAAGGTAGCGAGGCTAGCGGAGAGTCAACACAGAGCACAGAAAGAAGTACGACAGGAAGAATAGGTCCCCAGAAGAAATCTCGGTCCGAGTTATTTGAGCGCAGAGTTAGCCATCAAAATTACATCATAAATCCAACTTGGCTCTTGCTCGGTATCATACTTCTCCTGCAAACAACCCCCCTCATGTACTACCTAATCCTTGACATTAAGACTTTTGTCTAACTAACCTCCGGTCTCTGCGGGGTGAAAGCCTGTGACAGTCTTGTTGATATGAGCGAAACTTAGTTAGCCAGCCCTTTCTGCACCTAACAGACGATGCTTTTTGTCATTTAAGAGATTCGAGGTTCAAAATTCTCGTTCTGACAGGAGAGGATTTCGGGGCGCGCTCGGAGAGATGCGGAGTGCCGAATGACGGTCCTCGGGTACAGGAATTAATGTTTCCTGCGCAAAAAGGGTCTCGCCGGCCTCCAGTTCCTATGAATCTTGTAAAAGGGTAGTGAACATTGTGAAATGGCTCCCTTTGTGGAAAGAAGCCATACGGCGCAAGTATTATGACGTGGTGCAATCCCCTCCTTTTATGTTCATTTAACAACCCTTTTTTTTTCGAAAGATTTTCATGGCAACCATTTATCACTATGGTAGACGCGGCCGAGATTTGAAGAGTACTCACTTCAACTGGCTTAAGCTCACACGATGGAGATATGATTGCCCGAGATCAAAATTTAAGGCTAGGGATTCCGTTTTCCGGCATAATACCTTACGGTTGAAATTTACCTTTT